GATATCAAGCTGTGAGAACGGAGAACGTAGCTTTCATCCACTGTAACAATTACCGGATATCAAGCTGTGAGAACGGAGAACGTAGCTTTCATCCACTGTAACAATTACCGGATATCAAGCTGTGAGAACGTAGCTTTTACACAGTGTAACAATTACCGGATATCAAGCTGTGAGAACAGAGAACGTAGCTTTTATACAGTGTAACAATTACCGGATATCAAGCTGTGAGAACGTAGCTTTTATACAGTGTAACAATTACCGGATATCAAGCTGTGAGAACGTAGCTTTTATCCACTGTAACAATTACCGGAGGTCAAGCTGTGAGAACAGAGAACGTAGCTTTTATACAGTGTAACAATTACCGGAGGTCAAGCTGTGAGAACAGAGAACGTAGCTTTTATCCAGTGTAACAATTACCGGATATCAAGCTGTGAGAACAGAGAACGTAGCTTTTATCCAGTGTAACAATTACCGGATATCAAGCTGTGAGAACAGAGAACGTAGCTTTCATACAGTGTAACAATTACCGGATATCAAGCTGTGAGAACGTAGCTTTTATACAGTGTATCAATTACCGGATATCAAACTGTGAGAACAGAGAACGTAGCTTTTATACAGTGTAACAATTACCGGATATCAAGCTGTGAGAACAGAGAACGTAGCTTTTATCCACTGTAACAATTACCGGATATCAAGCTGTGAGAACGTAGCTTTTACACAGTGTAACAATTACCGGAAATCAAGCTGTAGAACGTAGCTTTTACACAGTGTAACAATACCGAAAGTATAACCCTGAAAACAGACTTTGTTTGTTGTTTAGCGCAAAGCTAGACAATGGGCTATCTGCGCTTTGCCCACCATGGATATCGAAACCCAGGTTTTAGCGTTTTAAGCTTTCAGACTTGCCGCCGAGTTACCGAAGGGCTCGTGAGAACAAGGGACTTTAGGAAAATATTAGCTATTTTATTTTGCTAATCAAATTTCTTACCAAAGTAGAATACGGACATCATCTGTCTGTCTGAACTAAAAGTCATACATTGCTAACTAGTTTTTCATCACACTATTTCATTCGTTAAATGTCTTTTAAAGAAAGAATAAATCACACTAACCTTCGCCGTTTAATTCTCAGATCTGAGAAACACGTCACCAGTTTCTCTTCTGTGATTTCCTGAACAAGAAACAAACGAGAGAGAGTTTGAGAAACTATAAAAAAACAAACAGAAACAACGTACAGGAAATATTTCTTAAAACTAATGTGAAAGATAGATAAATTATGAAATAAACAGTGTTTGTTTGTTTGTTTGAAGTTAAGCACAAAGCTACACAAAGGACTATCTGTGCTCTGCCCACCACGGGTATCGAAACCCGGTTTATAGCGTTGTAAGTCCGCGGACATATACCGCTGTGCCACTGGGGGGGCAACAGTGTTTGAACTAGTTTGTCATTTGGCATAGACTCCTTTACAATACAAAGAAATGAGATCATTGTTAGTATCTTCTACGAATAATTACACAGGCCTGCGAATTTCAACTTCATAAAAGTGGTTTTGGTTTTAATAACGGACTTCCCATAATTCAGCTGCACAGATTTCGAAAAAAATTACATTCATTCTTTTTTCTATCCCGTAAGGATTTCTTTTTTTACAAATCGGGAAGAAAAAACTGTTTCTCGGATCAAGTTATTATTTCGGCTCTATACTATAGGGTATCTAAAAAGTATGAAACTGTAGCTGATTTGGAGTTTTCCTTAATTTCAGGGCTTCATTGAATGACACTTTCCCAGGACAGTGGATTTGCAGACATGGTTCCCTAGGAATGATCCCCAAAATATCTGGACTTGACTCCCGCAGATTCCTTTTTCTGGGGACTGCTCAAGGCACAATTGTACAAAGAGAAGTCAGAGACAAAGAACATACGAAACAATGAATTCATGACAAGTGTCGAACCATTGACAATGATACAAGTATACTTTGCAGTTCAAAGAATACTGTCTCTAAACTTGTTTTGAATTACAAGGACAACATGTGGAACATATTCTATAAATTCATTGTAGTACCTGTGGTTCCAGAATTTTCAGACAACCGGTAGATAAACTAGAAGTAATTCTTGGTTTTACTGGCTTGTGTATTTCTGTTTGTTAGTCACTTACTGGTGAGTTCCTCCTATAGCAACATGAATCTCTTAAACAAAATCAAACAAAAGATAACTAACGTAATAAAATGTGTGTCCACAGATATCACATCACAGTGACACTGCAATTTCCTCTTTAAAGACCAAAAGTAACAAATATTCATACTACATTGTGCTATAGGCTACAAATAACTAAGATAAAGTACAGAATTTTAAGTATAAGCATTGAAAGAAACAAATAAACTAGCTTATCAATGTTAACAGATGTAAAAAAATGACTGTTTTCTTACTTTTGTAAGTAAAATGCCACCTGTTATGAGCCCAGTAGTGGAAGACAGGAAATACCAAGAGAATTAGGCTGATTTTCATCAGTACCCACACTGTCAAAACAGCCTGGCTTTTACCAAAAGCATACTTCATCATCTCAAAGTCCAAATTCAACCTAATGAACACAATTGATGAATACAAGACAAATTTCGTAACACAAAACTGGAAAAAGTGCTTGCACAAGTTATCTGATGTTTTAAAGGACACATTGTAAACCATAACTATTAATCACATAGTTATCAATCTCTTTAAAAAGTACAATATTTAACTAAGACACAAGAAACAAAACTTTCTATGACATACATATATGGATAAGTGGTAATGGTTCTAAAGGTAAAAAAAAATTACTTTTTGCAGTGTGTGTGTGTGTGTTTTGATTAATGACTCGTACACCAATGCTCACTTCAGTATGTATACAAATATTTTGATAAAACTGCATTTATATTTGTCATATAATCTGTAGCCATTCTTTAATTCCATCAAGTTTAGAACTTGTATACATAATTCAGAGCAGGCTTTTCAATATGGGTTATTATTTTATGCCCAATTTTAATTTACATATTTGTTTCTTGTATTCTAATAAAAAAAAAATCCAACTTACTTGCCAGTGTCCACAAAATCACATAGTAAAGTGTTCAGGAATAGGGTTAACAACAAAGCAACAAAAATATTGTAAATAGTCTGGATGTGGTTGATCTGGAGTAGTTCTCTGTAACAAGGAAAGAATCACATTAATTCTTACAATTTATTGGAAAATTTGTGTAATGGGTAATGAAAATATAAATGATTCATTTTAAATTTGTTATATTTATCCTAGGTTTACATTTTCTCTTGAGTGAAAGTAACTTAACCTACCATCATTCACACGTGATGCTAATAAGAAGTTCTCTTTTAATCTCATACTTTGAACCAAAACAACCAGTTCCTATTGCGACATTCACAAGCATCGGCTGCATATCAAATATAGTTGTGTATCACATATGATACTCGGGTACCTTAGCATTATGTCCTGTGAATCACATGTGATGAACGGTACAGGGATAGGGTTAAGTTTATTGAAAGTGTCATTGTATTTTGACATGTGGTTTTCTCATGATCTCACATTCTTATCGTTCACAACATATCGCGTGAGAAATTAAACCGACAAAAAAAAATGTGCAGGTGCTGTGTAAAGTGAATAAAACTACTTTTAAACATTATCCACTTTAATGCCTATCAATTCTATTACTGTAATACCAGAAGCTTCTGGGATGTTATTTGATGCCTATCAATTCTATTACTGTAATACCGGAAGCTTCTGGGATGTTATTTGATGCCTATCAATTCTATTACTGTAATACTGGAAGCTTCTGGGATGTTATTTGATGCCTATCAATTCTATTACTGTAATACCAGAAGCTTCTGGGATGTTATTTGATGCCTATCAATTCTATTACTGTAATACCGGAAGCTTCTGGGATGTTATTTGATGCCTATCAATTCTATTACTGTAATACCGGAAGCTTCTGGGATGTTATTTGCTTCTCGGCACACACATCAATTAAAACAAAATCTTTGCCATGTCTTTACAATGCACATAAGGCCTGAACTCTTGATTCCAATGGCACAAGTGGATGAGAATGGTGGCCCATTCCTCCTGAACAGGATGTCAATCCTCACAGTTTAATCCCCAACTAACAGCAAGCCACCCATCATACAGCTGGGTATACAGAAACAAGTGGGGCAAAGTGTCTTGCTCAAGAACACAACAGCATGACACAGGCCAACCTCAAACTCGCAACTATCCAACTATGAGTCAAAAGGTGAAGCCACACTGACCCAATATATAACTATTATAGATAAATAACACAGGCCTGCTACGATTTTATGATGAATGTGAAAATGATATCCATTTTTCTCCATCAAGTACAGATTTTTCACAAAATGTCATATTTACTTTTACATAAGTGAATCATTTTCATTGAAATCGGGTCACATTTTTATTATGTTTAAAATGTTCACAACAGCTGGCTATAGATTTCTCTAGACCAATCACGACACAAGAGTCTTATCGATCATTCTAGAGCCCACGAGAAATACACTACTAGTATATAAACGTTTAAGAGGCCGCATGACGTGTTATTTCTGGATAATATTTGTTTGTACGTGCACTTTGAAATTATTATTTTTTTATTATTATTTATTCATTGCTATGGCAACAAGAGGTTGTGTAACTGACCCAAACATATTCTGTTATATTTTTGGTAAATTTGTTGAAAAGATACAAAGTCAAATCATTACAGAATTTATCAAAAAAGTGTATTACACATTTTTTGTAATAAAACTTGGAGACCAAGACAAATCATGGGCTCTACACAAAGTTTGCACAATATTTGTTGAGACAATGGACTAACGGTAAGAAAAAGTCTTTGCCTTTTGGAATTCCAATGGTCTGGCATGAGCCTAGAAAACATGGAGATGACTGCCATTTTTGCTCATGTAATTGTTCATTGATTCCTCCAAAAGAAGTCTAAAAGATGTTCTCCTTCACCATGGTAACATATACACATCTGTTCCTATTGCTCATTCGGTCACTTGAAGAAAACGTATGAAAGCTTGAGCTTCTTCTTAATAACGTCAAATACAAAAAACATGTTTGGCTACTTTATGAAGACTTAAAAGTCCTTTGTATGTTGTTGGGTCAGCAATCCGGTTATACAACGTTTCCATGTCTTCTGTGTGAATGGGACAACAGAGCATGAAATCAGCACTGGATAAAGAAGCAATGGCCACGCAGAGTCAGCCTGATACCAGGATCGAAGAACATTAAACGTGAAAGTTTGGTTGACACAAAGAAAGTCCTACTATCTCCACTTCACATGAAAATGAGCTTCATGAAGCAGTTTGTAAAGGCCTTAGACAAAGATGGCGACTGTTTCAATTATCTGTGTTGACAATTCCCAGCTCTTTCAGAAGCGAAACTTAAAGAAGGGATTTTTGTTGGACCTCAGATTAGCAAATTGTCTTCAGATGAACAGTTTGAAAGGATAATGAGGAAAGTTGAAAAAGAAGCGTGGATTGCCTTTAAAGATGTTACTGACAAATTTTTAGTAAATAACAAGGACCCAAATTGCAAAAACATTGTCAATAACATGCTTGATAAATGTAAAGAGCTGGGTTGTAATATGAGCTCAAAAGTTCATTTCTTACACTCACATATTGACTATTTCCCTGAAAATCTCGATGCCATCAGCAAAAAAACAAGGGGAAAGGTTTCATCAAGATATCAGGGAAATGGAGAGGAGGTATCAAGGAAGGTGGAACATCAGCAAGATGACTGATTACCGCTGGTCATTGAAACGAGATGCTCAAGATGCAATACATAAAAGAAAGACCACAACACTTAATTTTGAGACTAAAAGATAGATTTCACAAAATAAAATCAGGATGATATTCGTTTCAATGTTCTTCCCTTTTCTTCAGTTTGTTTGTACTTTTGTTAACAAACATAATAATAAAAAATGTTCATTGTGGTAAAATCATGTGTTAGCTATTTGAAATGTTTCGGTTTTAGTTGACAATTTTAATACAGCGAAGAGAGTAGATCATGTGTATTTTCTACTTGAAGTCAGTCTTGAATCAGTGGAGTTTCTCACCATACCCGTTTCCTAAACTCTGAACTTATTAGTATTTCTGAACGTACAATACTTTAAATTATCACCAGATGACGTAAACATTAGAAGATAAAGTAATAACTCCCATGATTCTTTAACGTTTTGTGAAGGTAACACCTTAGATATTGTTGCATCAGTGAGGTCACGTGACTAGTATCATGCCACGTCCTTCTCGAACCTTCG